TACCCTGTATGTATCGTGCATAAAGACTTATTAACAAAAAAATCTAGAATATAAGCACCTTCTTTATCCAGGAAACCTCAAAGCTACAGTCACATGAGTTCCTTTATTTGTGAAGATGAGTGATAATTGCCCAAAGTAGACACTGTTGGCTCCAGGGAAATGGCCATTGCTGCTAATCACAAATAAGACCAGACACAGGATGGGTGACTTTGTGAGGGATTTGGACAGTAGAAGTGAGCTCTCTGAAATCAAGCTAAGGAGAATATTCTATGCTTGCCAAAAGCCTAGAATGAGAGGGAAAAGGCAATGGTATTTGTTTATTTTATAGAACAAATGGACAGAAAAATGACAATACAGATGTTCAGGAAAACTTGAAAATTGAGTAAAGGTGTAGGGGCCATAGCATAAGCTAATGGAAATAAATACATATTGCATAGATGAACCATATCATTCATATGTCATAACTTCTTAAAGGTTTTTCTTTGGTAGTTGTGGAGAATTTTGCAAATGAGAATCGTGATTCTGAAAATGTTTCATAGTAAGTACCTTTAATTCTTGAGTCATTATAAATAGCAACCAATATGGGAATTAGTTATCCATAAAGAAAATAACATTTTTCTTCTAAATCCAACCTTAGGGAAAATATATTATGCTTGAGTCATATAAACATGTCATTTTTATGAAAAAAGTCACATTAAAACAATTATGGATATTATATAATCATTACCATGATTTGGAATAATGTGCATTGGCTAGAAAAGCAGCCAAGTTGAAATTATGTATTCAGATCATAGCAAATGCAGTCTCTAATAAACACTATATAAATCATAATACAAACTGAAGTCAAACCTAATTGGTTTACAGTATGAGGTTTACATTTTTTTTATCTATATTGTATCCAGCTTTGGGTCTACAGCTTCCATTAGGAGGCAGCATGGTAGTGAACATCCTAGGGGCTCTTTCTGCTTTTAGATAAACCGGAGTTTTAGTTCTGATTCTGCCACGTTACCTCTCATCTTTGGTAATTTATTGAATTTCTTTGTATATCTGTTTTTGGTTTTGTCTCACTCATCTATTATATCAGGCCAATAGCCTCTATCTATGATTTGGCTTGAATATTAAAAGGTGTTAGGTAGGCAAAATGCATAATACATAAATACTAGTTCCCTTCCTACTTTGCATCCTTTCCTTTTATTAAATTGAGCGTAACAGTCATAATTTTAAAATTTTATTTATCTATTTTCAGAAAAGGTGTTTTTGGATTGAAAATAAGTTTCAACTAACTGATTAACGGTATCGCTACATTTTATAACAGCAACTTACACCATACATTTGTGGTCGTTTATTCTGTATCCTCTATGGCCATGGTTAGCTAGAGAAGGAACAGTAAAAAATACCTGGCTCTCTAGAGAGCACATTCAAATGTATCAAACCTAGTGATTTTAGTTATTTTCTGGTGTCTGGGGAAGGGGGATGTGAGATAAGGTGGTTGGAACTTGGTACTGAGGAAGCGAAACTTAGGAGTCATGTGAAGTTATGTTGAGAAAGCACCAATGCTTCCAACACGAAGCACCCGGAGCCTGACCCCCGCCTCTTACATGTGCGCTGATCGGACCTAAAAAGCATCAGGAGAGAGGGTGGGGTAAGTCAGGACAATCCAGACCCCATATTCTATCCATACATTAGTAAAGGCGTACTTAAGGTTAGATGGTGAGAAATATGGGGTGCTCACTTATCACAGCTGAAAAAATAAACTAGGCAGCGGTTGTGAGTTATTTTGGTCCCCCGGTTCACGATCGCCGTCCTCCTGTACAACCCCATCGGGGGGAACGGGACTGAAGAGTGTTGAGTGTGCTCCGATTTTGCTTCCTGATATCTTGAACATCTAAAATTGATTGTTTCTTAGGGGAAGAAATATTTTCTGAACTAATCGTTACAGGCACAGAAGCCCACTATATTTCCTCCTCTGTCTCTGTGACTATTTAATAATGAATGTTCTAGGTTGATATTCTCTTTTCACTCTTTGAAAGATTCTTTTAAAGCAACAAATATTTTTACAAGTTCAAGGGGGAAGGGAGAGTAAACAAGTAGAAAATTTTCTTTTACCCTGGAACAATTCTAAGTCCTGTAGGTGAATTTACATCACTGTTTCCAGTATGTTCTGATTTAATTTTCAGTATCTATGTATGGGAATTTGTATGTGTGCATCACTGTAACTTTCTGCATTGCTATGGTCAGACAGGACTGTGTACATCATATCATGTGCTTTGAATACACAATTTCCCTTCCCTTTCTTTTTTAATCAGTGTTAGAAATGAAAAGAAAATGAAAATGACCAAGGAGCAACAAAATAAATACAGATTGGTTTTTGACCAGAAATTCATCAGTGTGTGAATAAACCCCTGGAATGCACCCACCAGCATGTCTCTACCAGCAGGTGGTAAGAAGGACTATTATAGCCTTAGGCCTAAAACCCCACAATCATGACCTGGCTGTTCATTCTTCCCACCCCCACGTCTGATATCTATATTAATTTACAAGTGTGTCTTCAGATAATTCAAGATGTTACATTTCTTATGACAAGTCAGAGTTCCACAGAAAACACTAGTAATATCAAAATAGCTCATTCAAGACTCAAGGTTGGGCAAAACTAAATTAAAAAAACAGCCATACACTGCCACATTTCCCTGATTAATTTTCCTATGGTATTGGCACATATTATTTTACTACATATTTGAAAAATACAAATGCCTCTTTTATATGCAAAAAGTGAATGTTAAATGATATATGGAATTTTATATAGCTTCCTAAATATGAGCCACATGCTTAAACAGTGCATACATTTTACAAATCGAATCCTTAATCGAAACTATCACAAAAGCTTGGTGTACAGGTACAATCTTACAGGAAATAAGAATAACACCTGCCTCTACTGCAATAAAAATAAAAAGGAAAGAAAAACAGCACATTCCTTTTAACAACTTAAGAGTGAAATCACTTCAATAATCAAGCATTGAATGCTTTTTATTAATCATGATCTTAAACTTCTGATCTATAGGCATAAATATTTATAACTTTAGCCTTAATGCACAATTTCTTTCTTGTTTAAACGCGCTTTGTAACCCAAGATGGTATTTATAGTTCCGAGTGTACAGAACTATCATATGCCGCTGTATTCGAGAGTGATTCAGATTCCCAGATGTTTCACACAGTTATGAAAATGAGAAACTGCTAAACTGGTCTGGGCTGCAGGATGGCAAGCTTCTTGCTATTGTGTTATACATGATCCCTACACTTCACAAGTATAGATACCAAGTCACACACAGCCTCCAGTTCTAGAAGCCTTTTTTTGACAGTCTCCTGGTTTAGTTATTAGTTATGTTCACAGGCAGCAGGAAGCTCAGTGAGTAGAGGCCAGAATTTTCAAGGGCTCACATCTCTATAACATGAGGCATTTTAGGTGGCTGAGTAAAAAGCCTATTCGTGGTTTTTGTCTTTTGCTTTTGCACTTTTGGGGAAGGGAGGGAAATGAGAAAGTTTAGAGGGCTCAGTATAAGCCCCTCCCACACTTAGCTTTACACAAATGGATCACTCATAACAGTAACCTTTTGATCACCACTACAGAATTACAGCTTGGCCTGTCTGTAAACCTGTCCACCTGGACTGCGGTGGATTCCACTGGCTGTCTCAGCCTGAAAATAGACCGGATACGTTCTGGTTAAAATAAATCCCTGCTTATTACTTTCTGGATTGCTAACAAAATTCCTTTTTAGCCCTGTTCTGTGTGGCTGAGCATCATGCCCTGCACCGAAAGGCTGCTGTTTCAATTCCCAGTCAGGGCACGTGCCCTGGTTTCGGGCTCGATGTTTCTCTTCTTCTCTCTCTTTCCCTCTCCCTTCCTCTCTCTCTAAATATCAATTTTAAAAAATATTTAAAAAATAATTTTAAAAATCAATGGACTTCGTTCATTGCTTGGAGTAATTTAGGCTTTTAATTTAGTTTACATACCAGGTAAACATTCTGCAAATTATTTCAGGGGTCTATATTCTAGCACCAGGTACTAATGGCCCCCTCAGAGAAATCATGTGCATGGATTAATCAAATCTAACAGTGCTTAGAAATAATGGTTTAAAATGTAGCATTTTCATTTCTTCAATTTTATTTTATATACGCAAATGTTTTTTTTCACAACAGTTAGTTGTATTTTCAAATGAAAATCACCTCATTTTCACCTAAGTTCTTATCTTTAAAATCCACACGTACAGTAGTATGCAAATATAATACACTTTTTTTCTCCATGGATTTTTTTTAAGTTAAAAAAAATAGTATGGTGATAATGTTCTTTTTGAAGTTGTCTGTCTTTTGTTCTTGAGATAGTGTGAGTGGAAATTCATTTTCCTTTAATCCCGTTTCACACTTTAATATCAAATAAAAAATGAAATACGGGGAGAGTATTCTTATAGGGTTAAACATACTCCTTCTAACTACTTAAACCAGGGGTTTGGAACCCAGATCTCTATAATCAAGACTGAAAGTCACTGGAAGACTTTCAAATTATTTTAACCACCACAACCAGAGTCATGTATGAAAATAAAACCCTTGCATGGATTCTTTGTATGCATAATCTCAAAATAAAAATTTTAAAAAGGAAATATTTAAAATCTACCATTGAGGAAAATTTCATCTCCATAACTCATTATCAAGTTTTATTTAAACTAAAATTCTTTCCAATATTTTGATGAAAAAACAAAAAAGTACTCCTAAGAAAGTCATAAACACCGGCCCAGCTGGTGTGGCTCAGTTGGTTGAGCTTCGTCCCATGCACCAAGAGGTCACTGGTTCGATTCCCGATCAGGGCAGGGCACAGGCCCGGGTTGCAGGCTGGATCCCCAGTAGGGGGGGTGCAGGAGGCAGCCGATCAACATTTCTCTCTCATTGATGTTTCTCTCTTTCTCCCTCTCCCTTTCTCTCTGTCTAAAAAATCAATAAAAACATACTTAAAAAAAAAAAAGGTCATAAACACAGAGATGTGATTCTTGCTATATATTAGTTTCTCTTTCTGAAGGATTACTCCCTGGTCGTGTACTTCTGACTTCAACATCATGTTGTTTAGATGTGTTCAAGGGTTCAGATTCTCTGGACTCAGGCTTGTTGTGCATTTCTTCCTTCGCTTTTTCCAACTTCTTTTCCTTTGCAAGCAATCTATAGTTTATAGTATTGCCAATGAGCAGCCACACACTTGACAGGAGCACAATAGCTCCGCAGGCTATATACATATATTTATATTCTCCAGTTTCATCCACCAATTTACCTAAGAGACAAAAAAATATCTTTTAGGATAAAATAATAAAAGAACCATAAATAAGAATTTCAAATAAATTCTTCCACAGACACAGTCTGTACCTATTGCTTATTTAAGTTAATATTAAATGAGACTTTAATAAAGAAAAATATTGGAGTTTATGACTTTATATATATAAATAAAGGCATGTATGGGCACATGCAGCATTATATTACCAGGATATTAAAATTATCGAACATTATTTCCCTCAATAAAAATGTACAGCTAAGACAAAGTAGGTAGATATGCTTTGGGGTGCATATTCATAAATACATACACGTGTTTTGAGGTACATTTTTTATATCTCTACATATAGAAATAGCTCTATCTATCTGTCTATTTACAGCATGCACACTGAGAGTGCTTCATTCCTTGCCATGCTTCCTATCTTTTCAATAAAGAGGGAAACATGACATTCTTTAGGAAAGACCCAAAGGCTTTTACCAAGTTCATAACAGGGCATAATGTTTACTAAATGCTTTCTTTATGCCGAGCACTAGGCTAAACACTTTGACTTGCGATATCTCATTTAATCCTACAAGAGCACTATGAAGTAAGCTGACCATAGTCACACAGCCCGGC